TGTGTGTGTGTGTGAGCGAGGGGCGGGGGCTGTGTCTGCGCGCTGAGGGAAGGCAGTGTTGGGGCTCTGTCTCTACCCCCCCTCTGGCTTTTCTTCCCCTGGGCTAATTCTGATGCCTGAGCCCCCAGCCCAGCCCTGGGAGTTTGCTACTCAAAAGGTCTGGAAGTGTTTCCTTTTGCTCAGAACTGAGCGCTGTGAAATCTGCATGTGTGTGAGCGAGGGGCGGGGGCTGTGTCTGCGCGCTGAGGGAAGGCAGTGTTGGGGCTCTGTCTCTACCCCCCCTCTGGCTTTTCTTCCCCTGGGCTAATTCTGATGCCTGAGCCCCCAGCCCAGCCCTGGGAGTTTGCTACTCAAAAGGTCTGGAAGTGTTTCCTTTTGCTCAGAACTGAGCGCTGTGAAATCTGCACTTCCTCTTTAAGTGCCAAATGTGCAATGTCACACACAAACCCCATTGGCTTTTGTGTAAAGATCAGCTTTTCCCAACAATCCCTATACAAGTCCTCTGGCTAGACATTATTTTGACATCATGTCAAAATAACTGCTTGTGTGTAGACAAGCACTTTGTTATTTTGAAATAACAGTACTCTGTAGACATACAGGGCTTCCCCACTGTAAGTCGCCCAGGTATACTATAAGTCCGTTCCACACTAAAGTCGTTGACGTTTGTAGGAAATGATGCGTTATAAGTCCTCCCATTCCCCGCTGTAAGTCGTGTGAAACACTCCCCCCAATTTGCTTAAATAGAAGTCAGTCACGGGAAAAAAAAATCCCTGCTTTAAGTTGTTCCACTATAAGCCCAAGTTTTTTGGAATGTATCTTGGACTTACAGCGAGGATGGCCTGAACCCTCTTAGGGCATGTCTTATTTCAAAATAACAAGGTGAGCATCTACACTACCAAGCCTGTTATTTCGAAATAATAACTCCAACATACGAAAATGAATAATTTTATTTCAAAATAGTTATTTCAGGAGTTATTTCAAAATAACAAGGTGAGCATCTACACTACCAAGCCTGTTATTTCGAAATAACTCCAACATATGAAAACGAATTTTTTTATTTCAAAATAGTTATTTCAGGAGTTATTTCAAAATAACTTATTTTGACATAACCTGGTAGTGTAGACATGACTCAAGGTGCCACAAGTCTATTTGTTTTTAAAGTCCCTCTGAGATTTCTGGTTTAAACAGTAATTTGCCTGTAATGAATACAAAGATGGGTTTTGAGAGACATGGAAAAAAAAAAAGGTTGAGAACATCCTTTGCGATTGTAAAGAATCTAATATTGAATTTACTTATAACAAAATCAGTCACCTAAAAGCAATGATGTTTAAACTCAACTGTATGGTAAGAGCATCAGAAATATGTAGCACCATTTAAAAAGCAATGCTACAATTAAAAAAGTATTGGAAAAAGAGACTACCTATATATCATGAAAGGCAGCACCTGGCAGCTATCAACTCAGAGTCTGAAGAAGCCTAGCAAGACTCTAGGAAGTATGAAGTAGCCATGGGAAGTAGAGTAAGTTCTAGTGGAAATCCCAGAAACAGATAAAAAGTCTGGGTAGGAAGTACCACAGATAAACATCAAGGCTATGTCTAGACTACATCCCTTTTTCGTAAAAGGGATGTAAATTAGACGTATCGCAATTGCTAATGAAGCGGGGATTTAAATCTCCCCCGACTCTAGGAAGTATGAAGTAGCCATGGGAAGTAGAGTAAGTTCTAGTGGAAATCCCAGAAACAGATAAAAAGTCTGGGTAGGAAGTACCACAGATAAACATCAAGGCTATGTCTAGACTACATCCCTTTTTCGTAAAAGGGATGTAAATTAGACGTATCGCAATTGCTAATGAAGCGGGGATTTAAATCTCCCCCGCTTCCTTAGCATAAAAATGGCTGCCGCTTTTTTTCCGCACGGAGCTTTGTCGGAAAAAAGCACCAGTCTAGACGCTGATCTTGCAGAAAATAAAGCTTTTTCCAAAAGATCCCTTATCCCTCTATGAAATAAGGGATAAGGGATCTTTCGGAAAAGGCTTTATTTTCTGCAAGATCAGCGTCTAGACTGGCGCTTT